TGCCACAGTCATTGGTCGATGTTTATTTGGAGTTCTATAGAAAAAGAACAATGGATTCCGAAAGGATGCTTCCCTGGAGTTCTTGTTTCTTAGACATGAATTCCGCAAGAACTTTTAAGACTCCAAGATTGTTTGCTTGACCCTTTTGCTTGAAAGGATTGATTATATAACTTTGATTCAGTGATACTCAGCCAGCGAAATGACCAGGACAAAGATAAAGAGCCGTGTGACTATGAGGAAGGTCTCGGGGGGTGCTGAGTGCGTCCGACGAGGATGTTGCTACAATCCTCACACCAACCAGTGTTACAGGGCGCAAGAGTCGCGACGATTGCAAGCGCACCTTGGAGCACTCGGTGATGCACATGATCACTGGGGATGCGCTGATTGCATGGGTGCATTTGCAGAAACCAAGTCTCATGACGATCTTTCACCTCCGGAAGCAGTGACATGGTCCTTGAGTAGGACTTATGTTGGGCAGGACTTCTACAGGGGCTACGGAGGTCAAGTCAGCGAAACCTTTCGGCGCGGTCGAGCCGAGCAAAGATGAGGCACATGCCATCGGCTGGGCTCCCATCCTTTTCTCCCGCTGCTCTGCTGGGCATGCTGGGTACAGAGGCGCACGCAACTCACACGCATCGTCTTGCATCACTCACCGGTGTCAAAGCTCATGCGCAGGGACTCGACAGAGGGTATGTCAATGGAGGGAATTCTTGTGGTATACGAGTGGTTGAAGAACATACGGTATGAGGGACCCAGTCGCAAGAGCCTAAGTACAACAGTGATCGCTTGATCCTCATGTTTGGCAGCTTAAAAAATGATGCATGACCCGAAAACAAAACCAAATGGAGTGTTGTCAGATGCGCCTGCAGTTCCGCTGGCTAATATCTTTTGAATCAAAAGGGCCTCAAGATATTCTTCATTCTCACAGCATGAATTGGAAAAAACACAAGTATATTCACCGCACAAGCCTTAGCACTCGCCCCATGTTGCAGCTTTTTGAAGACTTCCTTTGTTATATATTCACCACCTAATAGCAATGGCCTCCAACCTGATGGCGACGGCCTCCAACCCAAACTGCCACTCCTGATTCTCCTCTCCCAGGGCGGCATGCGGCGCTTGGATGCCACCTTCGCCCTGGCGCCGCGCGGCGGCGGCGCCGAGGAGTTCCACGGCTGGCTGAAAGCGTCGAAGCATCCCTGGGCCGAGCGCGCCCTGGCGAGGTGACGGGACCCGTTCGTAGCGTCCGATCGCTCCGTTCGTAGCGATGCCCGAAATGCTCCTAGTAGCGTCCGATCGCTCCGTTCGTAGTAAGGCCAGGAGCCCCTGGGGCTCAGTCTGCCAGGTTTGTCAGTCTGGACTTCGGCCGATCTTCATTTGCAGCTGAGGTGTCCGCATTTTTGACTCTGCCGACGAGGTGGTACGGGCTCATCAGGGCTGAAAAAAACTAACCACCACCAAAAAGCCCTGGTAGGAAACATCAAGGAACATTGACATACAACTGTTGAATCCTTCTCTGTGCTCGCTTTTTTGTAGCACACTTTCTCAGAGCAAACGAATGTCAGAAACGCTGTCCAGGTGGAAGCGCTGCTGCGCAGCAAGGGCTACCCCGCGCGCGATGAGGACGCCAGGAGCTCCGAGGCACTCTGCGGGGCCGTGGTCTTCGACACCAAGCCCTGGACTTCGGAGGCGACTGGGCGGATCAGCCCGGATGTGGGGGACGTGGACGGGGGTGGCCGGGGTGGCCCTGGCTGGCCCTGGCTTGGCAAATCCGTGAGAAGACGCGGAGGAGAAGTTCTTTCACGTGTTCTTTCGGTGAAGCGGCAAGCCATTTGGGCCGGTGGTTCCATGAAGAGGAACTATAGTCCACAAAGATTGGGGGTTCGGCACACTCCCTGGACAATCAGCCCCCTTTCAGGTGAAATACACTTTGCGCTTCAACCAAAGCCTAGGCAGGAGCTTTGTGACCGCGCTTGCAGCAGTAATGGCCTCCAACCTACTAGCTTCTTGTTACTAGTAGGAATGGCCTCCAACCTACTTGCGATGGCCTCCACCGAGCATAGCGTCCTTGCTAAGAGACCTATACATCAATCGAAGTACGTCGTTCACGTCGTCGAAGATGCTCCGTGTCATAGTTTTGCCCACCAATTTCCGATCTATTCAACTGCAGGTGTTCCTGCCCGCGGGTCCGCAGCAGCTTGTAGGTGACGAATGGTGACTTCAGCCTGTCCGGGTCCAGGAACAGCTTGAGGATGTTCAAGTGGCCTTCCACCGGCCAGGCTACGACCCCAATCTGCCCGCCATCGCGGCGGTCTTCAAGTCCACGAAGCTCACCACGGCGGGACTCGTCGAGCCCAAGAAGGCGGGGACTCGTCGCCGTCGCGTCGGGTCCAATGAGGGTGGTCGTGTGGTCAGACGTGCGCGTTTTCGCGCGAGGCCATGGCGGGTTGGCGCTAGTAGGTTGGAGGCCATTGCGGGTAGGATTCAGAACTCACTCTTCCAGTGTTCCGAAATCGTTCCAAGTCTCCGAACTGAGTGACGTTCGAGCTTCAGAACCTGACGTCCTTCGAAAGCCACGTCTTTCTTTCTTCCGAACTCCATGAACCAATCGAAGCAGTATGATTGGTCACCCAGAGATGTCTGAAATGCATGACTTCTTGTTGCGTTGGACGGTGATCATTGGCAACTCAAAAAGGGCGTTCTTTACATACGGCTACCGTATTTGTTCAACCTTGAGGATTGCCAAGGATCCACGGCAACTGCCCTGCCGGTGTTCCCTTGCAGGATGGGCAACCGAACACCTTTGACGGCAGTGGATTGATCTGGTGCGCCAGACTAGTGCGAGAGGAACCCAACAACAATTGGATCGTTCTCTTGATCCATTTCTTTTCATTGCTTTATATTGCTTTTTCTTCTTGGTCCTTTTGAAAAACAACATACAATGTATGTTATTCTCTTTCCTTTTTTGTGTTTCTTTTGTTCTATTTCCTTTTTTTCTTACGCTTTCCTTCATCCCTTGTTCACTCCTTCACAACCTTTTCTAGGCCGTGGCACTGAAATGTGTCAAGAACCCTTCGTGCTGATCATCGCTACTTGCACTACAACCACAGCCAATCTAGCAGCATGGGAGCGAGGGTGACCACGGACCCTTTCAGCCTCGATAGCACAGAAATCATGTCGATGGTTTCGACCGCGGGTCTCCTGTTCACTGTGTTGATGTCCTATTTCATGGACTTAAGTGAATGCCACTCATCTTGACTTGATTGACTTTAGTGGGTGCGAGTCTGGCGAAGGTACTCTCAAAGTGGCTTTTTTGTCGATGCAGCGGACCGTGGATACATTCATTGAGCACATCAAGGGCCCGAAGGAGGCCACTCAGATGACAGAATAGGTCTGAATGTGAAGCCGAGGGGTGCAAAGGCAGTTACCGTAACGTTTCACAATTCTATACACGACAATACTTTCATGATTCATCATGATTCTTTCGTTTGTGAGCTCTGCCCAAATTTGCATCATCATGACTCTGTTGCAGTGGTGAAGTGGTGACGAGTGAAGAAAAAAAGATCGAGCTGGAATGATCCCAGCACGACAGTGATACGACCTTGTTGGATATCTGGACCTCACTCCATGGCCATGGAGATCAGGTGTGTCATCACCCCATCATCACCCCATCATTTTGAGACGGATCCATGGTCTTTGCTGGTCTTCCCTTGTTGCTCGGATGGTCCGTGGAGGCGTTGGATGGTGCTGTAAGCTCGCAGTGGTTTGGTGAGGCGCGGTGGGGGGGGGCTCAATGGCACAGGTAGGCTCAAAGGCATCGAAAACAGCCATGGAAGGTTAGATATAGACAGATGCGGTGGCATTTTGGTTCGGTCTCTTTCCACGCTCCAAGCATCGATACCTGTGCTGCGGTCTGGGGTTAGTACAAATGGCATTGATCATTGGCGAGGAGGAAGTGACTGAGCGCCAGGTTCCTGGAGATTCACACGCTTCACACCTAGCTCAGCCTACCTAGCGCCTACCTGCTAAGTTTGAGGTATCATGGAGTCGGTTTTGAAGCCCCTCCCACCCGGATCAGACGATTTTGTTGGAAAGTGGGTTGAGTAGATGATCTTAGACTCACCTGTTCCATCCTGTTCCTAGTAAATCAAGATTGATAAATCCATTTGGCTGGTCCTTGAAACCTTCTGGATTGACCCGGCATTCTTCTCGTGATTCCGGAGAAACCGCTGGATTCCGCTGGATCAACCAGGACGGACGGCCGCACGTGGTGGTGCCCTTCCCAACACCTGGCTGGTCCTTGGACATCTTCGCCATGTTGATGCCACAGCTTCTGTGACTTCCTCAGAGTTGGCCGCCATGCGTTTCATCTCGGACAAAGTCTCTTCTTACGAGATGAAGATGATAAAGGCTTTGGTATTTCTGGGATTTTTGTTTGACTCATTTAAGGCTTTTCAAGCCATGCTTTTAGATTCTAGATTGGTTTAAGACATGTTTAAGACATGTTTCATTACTCTACTGGTCGTCCGACCCATCATCGAGGTCTGCGTTCCTCTTGATCTCCTTGGCCTACTCAGCAGCTGGGCGTCGAGTCGGCTTTCTGTGGAACGTTTTCAACACGTGGCTGGAGTTTGGGATCAGGGGAAGTGACGGGGGGAGGCCGAGAAGAGGGAGGTAGGTGAGCTAGAGGTAGCTAGTAGCTTCAGCTACCGACAGGACGCAGGATAGCGCTCGCACTATTCATTTGCTTCGTAGATTTTTGGGACACTCAACTGAAGCAGACGGATTGTAGACACCTTCACTTGGATTAGAGGCCATCGCTACTAGGGTGGAGGCCATCACTCTGGGGTGGTATGCAGTTCCAATATGAGAGCGACGTTGATTTTTGCGACATGGCATCCGTTCCATCACTCAAAGCGTCAGAGGGTCCACTCGCGGTGACATGAGTTTGCTGCTTGCCTTCTTGCGGGTCGCGGGCAATCGAGATGCTCGAGGTGAATCGCATGATCACGGGAGGGGTCATGGAGCGTGAAGCTCGCCTGCGAGAGGGCATGCGAATGATGGGCATGCGCAGCAGCGCGTTTTACGCTTCCTGGGTCGCCACTTATGCGGCTTGATCGCAGGGGCGGTGAGTTTGGTGCGTTGGGGCGGTGAGATCGCAGGGGAAGTTGTATCACCCGTAGTAGCATCATCTCGAGTTCATTCTTTTCAAGGAAGCATTGATGGTATGAGCTTTGTGGGTTCAGATGCTTCGTGTTGATCACTAGCTGATCAGATACAGTAGCGTGCCAGCACTCGCTCAGATAGCGCACTGTCGTTTATAAGCAGAATTGGCAGGTCTTGTTGTACCTCTTCGTGGTCACAGGGGTGGTCTTGCTCCTGACGGTGGGGGAGATCCTGCCACGCAGCAGCCCTTCTTTGCTCTTCATTTGGCTCATGCAGCTTGGCAACGAAGCGCGGAAAGACCAGCAGCAAGCGAAGTCGGCGTTTCACGGAGCTGAAGGAATCTGAGGTGTCCTGCCTGGGAAAGCTTCCTGACCAGTTTCCTAGTTAATGTAAAAGCAGATCTGAAGAGGTAATAGGACGAAAGAAGGTGGCACCTGATGCTAAGTTCTGATGCTGGTAGGTATGCGTTGCTCTGTGACGCGTTTGCGTTCAGGAGGTAGTGCTCTTTTCATTTCCTTCCTGAGAATCTCCCAACCCAGCAGGAGTGACTCGTTCCAGTGATACCTGACCCGCTAAAACGTCCGTCGTCCGAGGACCTTCTCTTTAGCAGCGATCGCCTATGGCTTGGTGATCACCACCTTCTTCACCCGCGCAAAGACTGCGGCTACTGTTGGGTCCATCCTTTTCTACACCACCAGTGACTTCGACCAGCAAATCATCGGTGTTCTCTTTTTTTGGGGATGGTTTTTGTGTGTTTTTTTGGTGGTTTTTGGGATGGACAAGCGGTTTGGGAACGTCGGTTTGGAAACGGAGTTCCTTCTGGTTGTTGGGACGAGACCGGAGGAAGACGAACAAACACACGTGTTCGAACACGTGTTCGAACACGAAGAACACGTAGGACGGTGGTTCTTCCGCGCGTTCACGATGGAGTTGCATGACAACCACATGGTTCTTGAGCATCTGAGATAGCTTGACCTGGTGATCGAACACACGTCGAGTGTTCCGAAGGTCAGTTCTCTAGCGAAGTACAAGACATTATCCCGAGTGTGTGTGGGTGTGTGTGCCCAGACCATGTGTCCGGGGTCTTGTTCGACCACCCTGACCTCGGACTTTCCCAAGTGGTCCCAAGAGGCCTCCGTCACCCTCCGTTCGCGCGATGCAATGCTTGCGTTGCGAACACCTGGTGCCCGCCTTCGGTCCGAACACCTGGCGACGCCACGAGGCTACTTGAAACACCTGGCAAATCCGGGCTCCTCGTCCTCCACCTTACGGCTCCTGTCGCTGCTGCCGCCCGTGGCCTTTGAGCTGGGTGCCGACCTGGTCGCCGGCCTCGAGAGCCTTCAGGCCACGGACGATGAATGGCGGGTTGGCCAGTGGGTGGTCGGCATGGAGCTGTTTATAGCTGTTTCAGCGATGTCCTTAAGGAATCAGATGTATCATGTTAGGAGCACTTTCACCTTCCGCTGAAGAATTGCAGGGTGCCTGATCAATACCCAATCACCCTTGTAATGTCTTTGCAACAACTTGTGCTTTGCCAGGCGACCCCTTTGGTTTGATGGACACCTACCAACATGTGAAGATGATTTGTGTTTAACCAGCCTATATGCTTGCCCAAGCAGAACAAACTGTGGGTCTGACTGAATTCCCGAATTCCCTTTGGACGAGTGGGGTGGAGAGGAGAGGAAGAAATGGTGCAGATTTGCAGATGTTGAATAGTTCCATTGAAGTCAGTGAGAGTTCAATATGCATTTGTGCTCACTTCCACAGAAGAGAAGGTGAATCAGCCTATATCACACTGCTTCGTTGCTTCAACCATGATCATTGCTCCACTGGACAAGACACTGGACTGGATCTTCTTGTGGAACAAGAGAATTCCCCCAGTCCCAGCATATCCATGTGTGGCTTCATCAATGAAGCAATCATCCGTTCGGGTCGGTTCGTGCAGGTTGGAGTCACTTGGTCGAATGCAGCTTGGCTGGAATGTCTTGTTTCCAACTGCATTGGCCTACCTTTTGTTGTGCGTGCGTGTACGGGCAAATAGATCTAGGTTCAACCCAAGCAATTTTTGGGGTGAGAAAGCAACAAACAGGAGAGGATGGCGAGGGAGTAAGTCTGAGGTGGGATTGCGCTTTCACAACTACAGCCTCCTAGAGAGTGGCGGAATGCTCTTCCTGGACACGATCCTGCTCTTGGTGCTCTTTTTCTACCTGGATCAGGTCATGCCCCGTGAGGCAGCGCTGTTCAAACACAGGCTTCTGGTATGATGGATCTCGGAAGGGTGACGTGTAGCTCCTGGCATTACTACTAGTACGTAGCAAGAAGCTACTAGGTGGAGGCCACCGTTGCTAGTAACAAGAAGCTACTAGTAGCAATGTATCAGTTCTGGTATGAGGAGACACGACATGCGCCAATTGTCCTTGAGACATCTTCTGTCCTCGTTTCGACGCACTCTCGATCTATGGCCATCTCGTGTGCGTGCTTTGTGGGCAGGTAGGTTTGCAAAGACCCTGGTACTTTCCGCTGTCGCCTGCCTTCTGGGCGGAGACTTGACTGACTTAGCTTTGAGGCACAGCACTACACCAGGGATGGTCACCACCCAAATCTGTGGAAAAAGTGGCGCAACGCATTTAATTCAAAGAACCATGCGACATGCCAGCTGATAGCATATTTGATATGTTCCATGGTAGTTTCTGGGGTATCTGAGGGTGTGCAAAGGGTTCAGCAACTGCTAAAATCACAACTTTGACGGAAAACAACATGGCTGGGTCGCCGATTCCAGCCATTTATTGCTGTGTCTTCCTGACTGAGGACGTGTTTGGCAAGGTGACGGTCGAAACCAAGACCGAAGAACCAAAAGCTCCGGAGGCTGGAATGGCGAGTGAGTGGAGTGCCTCTGAGCTTGGGAGACTTGAAACTAGTAGTAATGCCCTTTGTCACTAGTAGCGATGCCAGGAGCTACTAGTAGCGTCCTTGCTCCTAGTAGCGATGCCCTTTGTTACTAGTAACTTCGTGTTCCTAGTAGTAAGGCCAGGAGCTACTGGTTGGGCTTGCGATCAGTTTCCCCAAAGTTCAGTTCGGCTTTCCTGAAACGAGTCGCGGGATTTTGTTGTTTCATCCAGCTGAACAGCGTTTCGAAGAAGGGTATGTGTGACCATCTATTAAATCTATGCTTGGGAGTGCCACACCTCCGAATAGCCGGAACAATCCTGAACTGATGTTTAGTTACTTTTAACTCAGAGCAAATTTGACGCGTCATATTTTACAAAACATCAGTCAAATGAGGGTCCGAAATCATCCGACATTCATCCAAATTTACAAAAAGCACCTTCGTACAGCTGGCAACGTTGGAGTTTCTCCTTTTGTACATATGGCAATTCTGAAAAGAACGCATTCCTTTGGACGCTATGCTCGGTGGAGGCCATCGCAAGTAGATTGGAGGCCATCGCTACTAGGAACAAGAAGCTACGAACGTAACAAGTGCATCGCTTCTAGTAACAAGTGCCTTACTAGTAGTAACAAGAAGCTATTAGAATAAGTTTAGTTAGAATTCAATTCCTCCGATAGTCGGAGGCCTCAGCCTTGGTCGAGCGGGACGTTGGAGCGGCCGCGGCCATGATGTCTGGAGCCCCGAAGGGTGCACTGGTGGTGGGCAGGTGGGAAAGACAGCGGTGTGTAATGAAAGTCCTGGCCCAGCCAACTAGATGATCAACACATTGTTTGTATAAAAAGGTAATTGAATTTAGTTTGGTGTTCATCCTTGGTGGGAGTTGCTCTCAATGTTCTTGAGCCGCAAGTTCTGGGCCTGGGCCACTTTCGAGCAGTCTCTCCTCTCCCATACGTGGGAGAGAAAAAGAATTGTTCTTATACACTGGGAATCCTTGTTTTGGGACGCTTCAAAATCCACAAGTGATACTCTAACAGTCTTGACAACGGTATATCTCAACAATGCCACCCAGTGTCCGAATAAATCCAAGTCGGAAGTCGGAGATCCGGGTGCGGCACTCAAGGCAGTATTTCGAGCTTTGATGCCTCGAACTGCAGAAGCAGCGCCCAGACACCATTCACTGACCCCCAGAGAGTTTGCCTCATTTCCAACCCCGGCTTTTTGCACATCTCAACTGGCAGGTCTCCCTCCAAGAGCCATCGCACTGGCGTTTGTTGTTAAAGACGATCAGCAGTTCATCTTTTTTTCATCTGAAGCGGATGATCCGTCGACCAAACCTTCCCAAACTGCTCAGCAGCTCAGACCTGCGTTCCTTTGCAGGTCTCGGAATGGGCAGACGGTGGAGATTTCCAAGCTCTCGAAGCGTTTCGGCCAGCTTCATGCGGTCCAAAACCTGGATCTGGTGCGCTTTCTTCAGATGGGAGGGGACCGGAGGGGATGGGTCAGAACCGAAGCTGAGTTGGAGTTGGAGGTCGGAAGCTTCTTGTGGCTGTAGCCGCCAGGTGATGTATCAGGGTGAGATCTTTGCCCTGCTTGGCCACAATGGTGCAGGCAGTGATGCGTCCTGAGATGGCTGTGTTTGGAAACCGGCGGAAGGGCTCCGCAAAAAAGGGGGGAAGTCATCAACGGTCGACTGGGTGGGGGCAGTGCATGGTTTTCTTTCCTCAAGGGCCTGGAGAGATGACCTGACCAGCTCGCTTCTTCCAAACGTTGCTATTCGGTTTCAACACAGTCCGCATTTGGAATGCAGCCCTCGGGCTGCCCTGTCCAGTTTCATCCCGTTCTTGTCACAGCGCCCTGACCGGCCAAGTAGCAGATCTGATCACGGATCGGGCGGAATCCTTCGGAGACCACGACCGCCAGGGAAGACCACGACCTTGGCGATGCTTTGTGGCTTGATCCCACCCAGCAGTGGCCGCTGCGTGGTTTTCGGTTCAGACCACCCGGAGGAGGCCTGAAGCGATGTGACAGGAAGGAGGGGAAGATTTAACTCGGAAGCGACATATGTATAGATGATACACAGTGTAATACAGTAATACACGTGTCATTTGCACATGTTGCTGCAAGAGACTTCAATTCCTTGAGAAGTTAAGTTCTTGTGTCGGCTCTTTGACAGAGCCGTTGGAGTCCACCAGACGCCTTGTTTTGCTGTTCTTTGGAGGTCCAGAACCTAAGGCATCCTACAAATTCCTGAGGTCCAACCCAGCACAGACGTTAGAACGGTGTCCGTTCTGCGGGCGTTTCGGCGTAAACTGCTTCAGGCGCAACGTTGCTTGGGCGTTTGTCCTCAGCATGATGTCCTGTGGGAGACCATGACCTGCGAGGTGCAAAGCACAAAAGCGGAAACTTAGAAAAGATGAATGGGTGAAACCACAGATGAACGAGAAGCTGGAACTGCGCGCAGTTCCAGTTGTCGTGACACGTATTGGATCATATTGGAACTATGTTGCATTTATACAGTCAGAGACACGCGCACACACAGAATGCAGGAGCATCTCCGGCTTTTTGCTGGCTTCAAAGGAGTTCCAGCGGAGGCGAGTTTGCCTAGGAGATCTTATCAGCTGAGTGTTGATCCTACTTGTCCTAGATACGTGAGATGATGATGAGAACTCCAGATTAAGCATCCTCTCCAATGGGTTTCATCCCGAGGGCGCCTCCAAGTTCTTTGTCAAGCGCCTGCATCACCCCATTGCCATGCTTGTTCGGTCAGCATTCGTATCATTCGTTCAAGAGGACAGCAAAGTTCTTTGAGGTCTTTCGCCAACGATTCTCGGTCCGCTTTTTTGGATTCACTTCTTGCGATGATTCTGCCACTTCTGTTTTGCACGCACTGAGAGGCTGTTCTTCAAGAGGTGGCTTTCATGCTTGAGAGGGTGGGTCTAGAGAAGGCGTGGGGGCCTGGTTTTCGGGTAGAAGGAGGGTATGGTTTGTGTGGCCAAGGTGTTCTGCCTTGCTTTCTTCTCACCATTCAGGTTTTGGATGCCCAGCTGGTTTGGCCAAGCCGCAGTTTTGCAGTTCACAAGCTTGTTTTGACAGCATTCCGCCGCGGTGCTTCGGCATGGCGTCCGGAAACAGGACAATGATCCAGCCACATCCGAAGCCTCTGAAGGATTGGCGTCAGGATTTGCTCCAACGCTCCCTCTCCCGCTCTTAGATTGGAGGCCATCGCAAATAGAAACAAAAAAAAAGAAAGGGAATCAAGGTCTAATGTAGGAACCAAATCGGTGAGGCGTTCGCGAACGCGAACGCTCATTTGCTCGTCGCTTGTCGCTTGTGACGCGAATTTTCAAGAGTAGTTCAAGTGTTGTTCAATTGGTAGAACAAGACACACAATACATCACAATACAATGAATTCACAAGCGGTGTGCCCGCATGGGCCAAGAACATCCCACCCCACCCCACGCAGTCTCGTGTGATGATGATGATGATCGTGTGCAGGTCTGCAAGTGGTGGTGAACGTGTCCCGTGGTCTTTATCTCTCTCCATGTTGCATGACTCTTTTCATTCTATTTGCCATCTCTGGCTGCCATCTCTACCTGCAGAGAGTTAGCTACTGGCAGCCCCAATGATGTACGTGGAAAAAGGCAGATTGCTTCGACAGAAGATCGGCGCTGACAGGATCGCCCGGTGACAGGCTTCGGTGCTCGCAGCGCTCCAGCCAGGCAAAGACGTTCCGCGCGCGTTCCTTCCAGGCAACAGTTGCCGTCTGAAGACGTTGGCGTTCAGTTAACAAACGTTTGCAGAAGGACATTGGTGTGCGTTGCAGATGCACTGCATCGTCATTAGACCTAAACGCTTCCCATCAGACATGTTCTGCCCGTTGATTGAAGGCACACGATTCTGTAGTACGGCAGCGTGCCCTGCTTGGCCAGCGCATCCTTTTCTTCCCTTTACCACAGAATAGATGCGCCGGCAACTTCCTTTGCCTGCCCTGTGGCGCAACGGTTTGACCCATAAAAAGGCGGCTTGATTCGAAGATGAGTTGGTCCACCCTGTTCACGGTGGATTCAACATGACAATGACATTCTTGTTACATACTAGCTTCTTGTTACTAGTAGCGATGCACTTGCTACTACATAGTCACGATGCACCTGGCCTTGTAACCGGTCCCCTCCGCCCCTGCCCCGTGCGGATCTGGGCGTGCCTGGGCGTTCCCGAGGCCGGTGCCTCGAAGACCCAAGCGGGGCGTTTGAGCGGCGGCATGAAGCGGAAGCTCAGCCTAGGCCCGGGTTGGAACCAAAGCGTGGCTCAAAGAGCAGAGTGAGTGACACAATGCGGTCTTTGGGCGAGAAACCATGTGTTTCTTTTGTTGAACAGAGACTCCCCCCCAAAGACCCAAAAGCATCCCAAACGGGTTTTCCACCTTCGAGCCAGGCATTGCCTTCCTGGGAGGATCACAATTGGTGGTCTTGGATGAGCCCACCAGCGGATTGGACCGGAGGGCCGTTTTTGGCGCCGTCAGGGTTTCGTTGCTTCGTGGTAGGTTGGTGCCTATTGTCCGTGGCTTCTTGCAGATGTTCTCAACATGTGTCAAGCGCGTGTGTTCCCTAGTTCTTTGTGCGTTGGCAAACGAGGATGCAATCTGCGATCTGACAGGATCCCTTCTCCCGCCGTGCAGTTTGGGAGCTGCTGAGATCCATGAAGCAACAGCTTGTCATCGTGGGAGTTCCCAGGAGTTCACAGTCTCGGCTTCAGCCGAGTCTTTCGCCGAGTTGTGGGACCGGTACCGCCGAAAACAAGTGTTTTTCTCAGGTGCTGTCAACTCACTACATGGATGAGGCCCAAGAGTGGAGCAAGACCATGTGACAGGGCTTGTTGAAGTTTTGCAAAGTGAGTGACGCCTGAGCGGTATTCACTTTTTTTTGGGTGGATCTGAACTCTGATTGCAGCTGTTTTGCTGGCGCCAGGCGGACATCCTCGGAGATAGGAGACTCCGACTGGCACGCTCATTTGGCTTGAATGTGGACAATGAATGGATGTTATGTAGATCTTGGCACCCGTGGTGGTGGTAGTAGTAGTAGTAGTCGTAGTAGTAGTAGTAGTAGTAGTTGTTGTTGTTGTTGTTGTTGTTGTTGTTGGTTTGCACCTCTTTTCGCGCAGGATTGCCATCCTACATGAAGGCCGATTAAAGTGTTGCGGCTCACCGCAGTTCCTGAAGCGGGCCTATGACTGCGGCATGGGGCCACAGCTCCGGGAAGGTGCAAGAAATTGCTACTAGTTGCGGAGCTCCAAGATGCAGGCGCTTGTTGTTCAATGTTGCCAAATCATTCTAGATTGTGGCTGACATTTGGCCATTCGTTTTCTGAGGCAGTTTTATTTGCACTTGGCCAAAACCCCAACTCCTCAAAGAAACCTCTCACTAGTCACTAGAGTGCGTGCCGTCGTCGTGCCATTCTTAGGCTACAATGTGACCTTCGTGAAACGCTCCGGTTGTGACATCGACGTGGTCCGCGAGGTTGGTTCTGCGAGCTGGTGGAAGTTTGCACAAACATCAACGAACATAACGAACCTGGTTTGGAGACTGTTCATCTTTCGATCATCAGACCAAACATCTCTAAACATCAACATTTGACCTGTGAGATCCAGGAGTCTGAGATTCGTGGAGGAACATGCTCAACTCGTGTTTCATTAGCGCAAGGAAACCTGCCAGCCATGCAGTGTCTCCGCGCCCCGCGCCACACCCCAGCTTCACGGCCACGGGTGTCCAGGGAAGGACGTGCGTCACCGGGCGTCCAGGCCGTGTGTCGCCACGTGCCGGAGCTGACATCGGAAGTGTCGGTGCTCTCGAACAGTGGCAAGGAGAGGGAGTCCCGCCGGTCCAAAACATCTCCGCAGATTCAGGTGGTGAGCGCTTGGATTTATCTTGGTTTGTCAGATGGACAAATATGGCAGACATTCCTGGTGACCACTCGGAAAGAAGCACCGTCCCCTGGTCCTGCACCCTCAAAGTCGAGCCGACCCGAGCTCTCACCGAGCTCTCGACCACGTCGCACGGATGATCGCCACGTCGGTCGGACAGGAGCTGATTCTGCAGTTTCCTTTCACGGCTGCGCGCCATTTCCCGAAGGCCCAGTGTTTTCGGTTCCACCGGCTGCGGTGTTTTCGGGGTTTTGACCAGGAAGCCGAAAACCGTCCGTCCTTTGGTTCAGATTCTGTTGGGTTCGTTTGGATGCTGCGGGCCTATCTCTTACCCTGCAAGACGAGAACTCATGTTGGTCCAACAGGTCCTGGGGAGCTTGGAGCAGCAACTGGAAGAGCTTCGCGTCGAGTGGCGGCCTCCAATTTTCGGATCTTCATGGTTTCGCCTCCCTTTCTCTTTCCTGGATTGAATATTATATAATGAATGTTTCTCATGTGAGAAAAACACATGATTCAATCCTCCTTCAAAGCCCTTTGCTTCTGCGAGCTCCTCATATACTTTCCTTTCCAGTCTGCCAGCTTGCGGATGGAGCCAGACATGGAGCCGAGGTCCTACGGCATCTCAGTGACAACCTTGGAGGAGGTGGATATACGGCATAGTACTGTGTAGCCCAAGGATCAGGAATCCTTTAATACCTCAGTTCATTGGACTGCTTGTGGCCTCAACCTCACCACTGTTGCTGAGTATCTCAAACTGCGTCAAACTGCGTCGAACCCGTCGACGGGCACGCGCCGCACCCGTCACGGACCTGCCAGGTCTTTCTGAAGGTGGCATCTGGAGACGTGGTGCCCAGGCGCCGTCGTGTGCGGAGACAGTGGCGTCCGTGCATCGTTCTGTTAGAGCTGGAGCGGTCCAGCTGCGGTTGTGCAGGTCCAAGCGCGCTCCCAGCTCGCCCACGTCACCGCAGACGAACATGGAGCAACCGGGCGTGAGAGTAGGCTGACAGGAGGTGTTGGAAGGGTATCATGAAATTAGGATGCTCCTTACTTTTTTGCACTGCTACTTCATGTTTCAGGTCAACTCCAATGTACCTTGTTAGGATCCTAAAGGCCCAGTCCATTGCTCCATCACAACTGCAATCCTAGCCAAATATTCACGCCGCTTCGCGGTCGAAGCCGCCCGCACAGAGTAAAGGGAAAACATACGCATACAGACATAGACAACAGACAGACACACATTCAGACACACATCCAGACATACATGGGAAAAGTGTGTCATTAGCACCCTACCGGCTCGGCAGCAACCTGCGCTCGCGGAGCCGGGAACAAGCAACTTGTGCTCTCGGAGCCGGGAGGAATTGTTAACCGGGCTCAAGCGTGTCTCAGTCTGTCTATCTCGGTCTGTCAGTCTGTCTGTCTCGGTCGGGCGGGACACACGGACGAACACATCCACGACGTCAATAATGCGATCTCTCTCGGCTGGCACAACTGGCATCGCCAACGGTTGCTTCAAAAGCACACCGACTTTTATCAACCTCCAGAAAACACTGTCAAGCACGAGCAAACGCGCCCCCCCCCAAGCTAAAGCTTAAGACTTATCTAGCAGATTTCTTCCGATTGCTGTTGCCCCGAGTCTCCATAACGCCCTCGGCCCCTCGGCACCTTCGGCGCGGGCGGATTTTGACAATGACTCCTCTACTAGCCGGAGGTGGGGAGTGGAGTTTGAAAAGGACTTATCTCTGATGGATGCAGATGTCCCCACAAGCAAGCAAGCAAGCTGCATAGAGGATCTCTTGAAGGCAACAGTTTTGTAACCGCATCCATCCGCACCCTTTTTTCGTTTTACCTTCAATGCCGTGACACCATTGTGGTGTTGTGAGATGCTCTTTGTGAAGGATTGATCAAGAATTTGAGTGGACAAAGTCACTGTCTCTAGGAGTCTCCACGGAGTCAACCTACTAGCGATGGCCTCCAACCTAGTAGCGATGGCCTCCAACCTACCAGCGACGGCGTGTATGAACTGCAAATCGCGCGAAGATTGAGTACATCGAGTACATTCCGCATTCCGAGGTACATCGAGTTGGGTGAAGTGGGGGAGACAGAACCTCAGGCCGACGCGTGTTGGAACGACCAGCTGGCGAGTCTGGCAGGGATGCATACCCCCGAATGGTCCTCGTGTGCCACTGATGGATCGCAACGGTGGTCTCAAAGCCAGAGGCAAACGGAAGGGTAGTGCACAGATAGGGTTTTTACTGACCCCCCCCGTTCTCCACACACCCTCCATTTAGCCTTCATCAAAGCCAGAATTGTCTTTAAAGTTTGGTTTAGCTACTCAGAATCATCTTTGAGTGTCCCCTTTTCAGAGTTTTTGTTGTGGCCAGCTGTGGCCAGCTTGGCGTGATGCGGGCCCGGACCTCGCGAGGTGCCACACGGAGCTGCTCGTGAAGTGCGCCTCGTTCAAGATGAAGCTGCGCCAATGGCCCGCGGTGCGCATTGCCCACGGCAGACGCAGGAGGGTCCGACTGGAGAGATGATAGCATGTGGATGTGGGCAGAAGATCTGGAGATCTATATAGATTTGGACATATTGGGGATGATCTGCAGAATAGTAATTTGCACATTTTTTTTCAAATGTTCTGTTTTTTTGATGATGCCGGTTTTTTTGGCCTTGTGGGAGTCACATCAAACACGTGTGTGTGGCTCAAGCGTGCCTCATGCGATCGAGATCTACTTCGAAGTGATCGCAACATCTCCGGTAATACATGTGAAACTTGATCAATTTGTATTTGGAGTGCAAGCCTCACGACGGATCTGATGGAGTTTCCGAGACATGCTTTCCATGTTTCTGATGTGGTGTTCTACCATGTTTCTACCCGTGCCACCGGCGTCGTACGTGTCGATTCTGCCCCCCCAAAACTGCCACCTCCGAAAACGACACCGTGCGACGTCGAGTCACTTCGGACGACCTCGATCGGACGCAGTCGACGAAGCTGTCGACTGCGTCGCGTCTCCGCGCGATCGCGCGATCGCTGCAAGGCGCTGCTGAAGAAGCGCCTCAAATACGGTCTCCGGGATCGTCGTGGGGTGCTCTGCCAGTGGGGGTGCCGAGCCGTTTGGGGGGCCGGTGCGTGGCGCGAACGGCTGTTCCGGAGAGGTCATGGCTCCGGTCCGTATAGTAAGGTATCTGTTTCAAGCATGTATCAGAATCGGAGTGGCCACATTTTCGTGTTGGGTTCAAGCAGAAAAGGCTCACCCATCGTGCCTCATACGTAGTGATTTGGATGGATGATGGCCTTTTCGGTGGAAAGAGGTCCACATCTTCTCTTCGGGATATTTTTTGCCTTCTTTTTGTCGATACCTGTGCTAGATTTGGGTGGCCCTAGCAATAAAAAACCAGGAATAAAGGTAATTTTCTTGAAACCATGCCTTTGAGACTCATGTTAGCTGAGAAAGGGAGAAGAGATGTTGCACTTTTCAAATAACATGGCATGCATAGGTCTTACCAGTCATTTTAGATTAGATAAGCACATCGTAAATCACATGGAGGCTGAACCTCAATCTTCGGTAGCTTCGGGGATTGGTCTAAGAGTCTAACGTATTAGGCCAGAGGCTTGGCTTTCCCTGCGACCAGCCACCGCTTGTGGAGAGCTGACAGAACGAGCCGAGGTTGTTGATGCCGACCGCTACCTTGGTGCTCTTCCTGGTGCTGCTGCCACTCAGATCAATCCAGCCCTGGCCATGTGGAGGTTTTTGACGACCCAAGAGATGAATAGGTTTTGACCCAAAGACATGTAAGAAACACATACCCTTCACTGTGGTGTTTGAAGGATTTTGTTGGTACTAGGAACCATCGAGCGCACCACAGCGCTAGCTTTGGGCTATTCCCACTGAAGCGGAGACTTGCAGAATCTGATATGAGCGGTTTCCTTTGCTATAGGATGGAGCTTGCTTCTTGGATATTCTTAGGGTGGACCTGCTTGTTAACAGATGTGTTCTCAAGGATGCCAAGAGGACGCTTCTGTTGGAGAGACACCGCAGGTTGGAGAGACACCATGCGTCCTTGTCGTGATCGGACAGACACTCCTTTGGACCAAGCTCCAGCAAGTCAGGCTTCATTCAGTGATCCTTTACGACCAATTGTGACCAAAAGAGTGGGGATTTCATTCTACTTGATTCTGGGCATTCCTTTGCTCTCTTCATTTTCTTGGATGCAAGCACATCCCAAGCCATTCAGAATGGATCACAGAACTTCTGGTGAGTCCTGCAGCTCCAGTCTGATGAAAAAGCAGCTAGAGCTGGAGGTCGAAGAAGCTCTTCAGCAGTCAGCCAATCCTGGAGCTTGCTGTGACCGACTACAACAAGCACTGTCACGCGGCAGGCACGGCGATATAGCTTGGGACCACTTCGGCGGACCACTTGGACGATTCGTGTGGGTCAACTCTTTGGGGGAACTTGGGGTGAGCATTGGAGATCCATACTGAGTATGGCCATAAAACGCCTTTTGTGTGTTGTTTTTTTTCTAGTTGCATGGAGAAGACAAGCCAGATCACCACCTGATTGAGAAAGTCAGTCTCACGGTACCTGCAGAATTCGAGATGCAGTCTCATTCTTCTTCTTTGAAGTCCGTTTCAATTGACCGATGTCGGCCCTTTAGTGACAGTTCTGCACAGGATTTGAGCCGATATCTGGACGAGATCCAGTCTTCCGGCGAGAAGTCGGTTTCAATCTCTGAAAAACAAAAAAAGCCATGGCTTTTTCACCCCAACACCAGTCCGACGCAAGGAGCGTGCTCGCACCGGTTTGTGCGACGCAGGACCTGGTGCAGCCGAGTGGTCGAACCAGGTGGAGTTCAGCCACTTGCCGGCGGTGAGCCCGGCAAAAGCCGCTGACGTGCTGAAGCCCGGAGAGGAGAAGCACCGCGAGAGTGTTTGACGCGGAAGACGCCGCCGCTTTCGGCACGCGTGTGTTGGCTTTCTGAGTACCGCCGCTCGAGGATGTGAAAGCGAACCAACAAGGCAACAGTCCCAAATTCATCCTCGTTACCATTTACACATATTCTGAGACGACGAAAAAGCGTCTTCATAGCTACAACATGGGGCGTTTCCATGACTTCACCATGGAAACGCCGTGCCCGGGGATCCAAATTCTTCCCCTTTTTGGGCACAGATTCATTGAGATCTGCGCCGTGCCCGGGCTGTGACCCGGGCCTCCGCGCAGCCCTGTGCCAAATTCTGACACAAGGCCTCTTGGATTGTTCACTTCTATGGGGGCAACTGTCGGCGCTGTAGAGAGACTGCCTTGATGTTTCAAGATGTTTTGACAGAACCCGTCAGGCAGTCTATTTGTCTCAGTGTTTGGTTGCTTAGATTGATTCGTTGTGTGGCAGCTGCACCACAGCAAACCAAAGTTTTACCACAGCTTGAAGCATCACCACAGTTGGTGCACACCTCCCAGCCATTCTTTCCAAGAGCTACTAGGAACAAGTGCCACGCTAGTAGTAACAAGTGCCTTACGAACATAGTAACAAGAAGCTACTAGTGTGCCTTACTAGTAGTACTCGTAACAATGTTTGCTATTATTTTCCCCCCTGAGCCATGGACCCGGTCCCAGGAGCTGTGGCACGCGCAGCTGCGGCACCACGTGCCACCCGAGGCCTCCGAGGCGCAGCTTCGCTTCGAGGAGGCGAGAGCAGAGCGAGAGCAGAGCGGGAGGAGGAGTCGGGAGGAGTGGTGAGATGTTGGGGAAAGGGACTTGAGGGAAGATGGAGATGTGTTTCCATGGAGTTGCCCGGCCGGGCATGAGAACAGTTGATTTTTGGCGCACTGATTTTGAATGTGGCACATGTCCGAGTGGAAGAGAGGTTCGAAGAGCTTGTTTTCGTGCTTGCAGCGGGATGGGCATGCTTCTTGGAATGCATGGCGCTTGACTGGACAAAGAGCTCTTCTCCACCAAGCTATACCAAACTGCTTGAGAGACGTCAACCATTTTGCTTTGACGTGAAGATCTGGTTCTGTGCAGTTCACCTTCGCAAGACCAGTTCGGACGCCCAGCCATCGCAGCCATGCGCCGTTGCCGCCGTTGCCATGGCGGCGGCGGCTTGGCGTGTTCCTCCGCCGAGGGACCGCAGAGAACCGCTCGCCGTCGATTCGATCCAAAGAGACGAGGTCAATCACGATGAGAGACGGGTCGTCACGACAGTTGGGGAACGAAGCTGATCCAACACCCCAATCCAACACGAGAAGGACGGAGAATTGGGATGGAGCATCTTCTCTCATTTCATCTCTCTCTCTCTCTCTCTCTCTTTCTCTCTTTCTCTTGCTCTCCTTCTTCTTCTCTTCTCTTCCTCTCTCTCGCTCTATAGCTTGGAGGCTTCGACGATCCGGTTCGGCGTTAGGAGCTTCGGGCGGAGCTGCCCTTGGTGCGGCACTACAAGGACGCTCCGGTCGTGGCTGGTGGCGGCTCCTGGCGAAGAATCCTAGAAACCCTTCGTTTAGCCCATTACAGTACCTCCTACTGAGATCTTTTCTTAGATATCTTGCGAGCTGACAGGGTGTATCATCAAATTGTTTGGGGTGCAAAATATGCGCTGCTGCGATTTAGCGTGTGGGGCCTCCAACCTAATAGCTTTTGCAGCTAGGAATCAGCAGAACACAATGACGTCAGCGGACCTTTGGTTCCACCGACAGAGCGACTCTTTGTGTTCTCATGATTCATCGCAAGATGTACAGTGACTACTTGTAGCCCTAGCTGAGGACAGGTGGCTGAGCAAAAGATAAAGAAACGGTTGCTTTCTCGCAGGGGGGGGTGTTTTGGGATGGTTTTATACGTTCGCCTGCTCTGGGCTACTTCAGGGTATGGGGAAGCCACGGGTATGGGCTCCGTTCGCTGCGTCAGGAGCAAGTGTCCGCTGCCTTTGTAGCGCTCTTTCGAGGCCGCCGGAGGGTCGACCATGGGCGCTAACGACGTCTGTGGACGAGATTTCCGGGTCGACCGTCGTGACGAAGAGCCAGTCGCCCAATCCGTTGGGCCCGGTGGGGGTCGCTGGTGGATCCTGGAGTTATTTGGATCCCATCTTTTGGTTGACCATGAAACACCGAGGTCTAACGATTTCCCCAGCTCAGCACCGGAATTGTTGGGAATTGGGTTTTAATCGAAATCCAATGGGTGGAGAACAGTCTGGGCAAACTGAGGAGGTCGGAGGACCTTTCAATGGCGGCTTAGGCGAGGAACTATTCCTGGTACGGGGCCGGCAGAGTGGGCTTTGGCAGCTGCCTGGTGGAATGATTGAGGCGCCAGGGAGGAGGAACATGCCACTTAACTGCGACAACTGCGACACACACACACAAATCATAAAAGCATTAGGTCATCAATGGTCCATGTTGTTTTCTTCGGTAAGACTAGAGAAGAGAACCAAAGAGTGACCTTATTTTGTCTCAGAAATGAGTTCTTCTCATTTTCCATGGATGGTTACTTCCCTTGCGCCGAGCTGGTGGGGGGCCCACAACCTTCATCCAAGGTGTCCACGCCAACACTTCTTTCAAAAGACACCCTCAATCAAACAACAATCCAATCTTTTGTTTCTTCATGAATCTTCTCTTTATTCTCTTATTTCTTTCTAAACGCTTTCTTCTTTGTTTTCAATTTCTGCAATTTCTTTCTCTGAGCCAGACCGCGGCCGGAGAGCTCCAGGCCTCGGACTTGAACGTGTGGGATGCGGCGGCGCGGGAGTTCTACGAGGAGACCGGAAGCCAAGCGCCGCTCCCGTCTTCGCGCCTCTCGGCCTCTTGGGCTGGGAACAAGAAGCTAGTAGTAACAAGTGCCACGCTACTAGTAACAGGTGCCTTACTACTAGTAACAAGGACGCTACTAGGAACAAGGACGCTATTAGGTTGGAGGCCATCGCTACGAGTTCGGAGCGATCGGACGCTACGAACGGGGCTCCTGGCATCGCTACGAACGGAGCAAGGATGCAGTAGCAAAGGGCATCGCTACTAGGAGCAAGGACGCTATTAGGTTGGAGGCCCCGCGCTAACAAAGAAAAACACAAAACCATTTGCTATAAGGAGTGCATGGTGGGCCGAGGGAACAATTTGTGGATTCTTGGAGAGAACACATCGAGGGAACTCTTCTTTAAAGGGTTTTGCAACCGTCTAAGACGGTTTTGAAGCTGATCAAGAGAAGCGAAACTTCTTTGGTGGCTTAAATCAAGGTTTCAAGGTGGATTCTCAGCGAAGAACTTTGATTAATCTCCTCTTGGAACCGGTGTTTAAGATGTTCGATTCAAAGACCATGCCAGCGCTTGCCGAACTTGAATAAAAACGCCATGAGGCTTGCAAGGATGGTTCGAGACCACCATTGAACTCCCTTCGGGCGGCTTATTTCGAGGAGAATCGTCACCGAGCAATTGTAGGTCTTGCCGGTTTGCCGTTCTCCAGTTTCCAATCATTGATCATTATGTCGTCGACCCCAAGATGCGCGGCTTCTGTCGGAAAGAATGTGTCGACATCGTTGAAAGATCCGTGACCAGAGTGATCTTCAGGAGTGATCTTTGTTCTGCAGACCGAGGCCACCTGTGAGGTGCGTCGAAAACACATCATGAAGACACAGACTAGTCAGCTAATGGTTTTGGATGGTTTTGGTCTGTCCCATTTTCGGTTGGATTCACCTAGTACTGGTAGCAGTTTCGAAAATGGAAACTGCTATTGTAGAGCTTGCTGCTGTATTTCTGTATCCTTAACATTTGACAATATTACTATATAAGACTATATACATCATGCAGATAAATCAAAAGTTCATGCTTGTTGACCATGTTAAAGAACGCAGTACGGTCAGCTGCGGATCGAATTACCAAGTCCAAATTTTGTCACACTGTTTTGAGTTTATATCAAAAAAGGCTTTCCGGTGTGAAACATGACCGCCCACACGGCCCCAGGTCTCCCAATGTAGGATTCTAGGGGGGTAAGAGTTGACATGAGTTTTGTGTTTCAAGATGCACAACTTTTGTCTGGCCAGTGTATACCAACACAGTGCCATTCCGTCGCCGGTAGAGTCCCGAAGCATTTGCACCCTGCGCTCCAAAGCCGTCAGGTGCCTTTTGCGGTGAATGGAGAGACGCGTGAGGCGCTCTGGAGACCTTGGCGGAACTTGGAGGACCTGGACTTCCGTTGGCCCAACGACCAGCGCCGAGACGGAGAGATGGGAGAGATGCACTTCACGTCTCTTTACACGGAGGGGTCAGACACGAGAGGTGCTGGTCGTGTGAGGTGAGGCTACTTATTAGCCTTGCTACTTGTAGCTTCTTGCTCCTAGTAGTAATGCCAGGAGCCCCTAGTAGCGTCCTTGCTCCTAGTAGTAAGGCCCTTTGCTACTAGTAGCTTCTTGCTCCTACTTAGGTGTACTTAGATGTATACTTAGTAGATGTGTTAGTCGGGTGCTTGGGAAAAAGGTGGCGAGAGTGATCTGCAAGCAGCTACTACCTGGGGCCTCTTCGATAGATATTCTTTTCTGCACTCTCAGGTGGCTTGGAACGTTGGTGGGTTGGGCGAGCAGACAAGGAAGCTTTCAAGTGGATTCGGCCCTGTCCCGCACGATTGCTTTATAAAGATGAGTCCAGCTCACGGATCAATCATACAAATGGTGCACAAGATGAGTGCTCAAGACGTTTTCATCGCGGCGGGGTGGATACTTAATGTGTGACTCCAAACGAAGGATTTTCTCGTGTTGCTTCAAAACTTTGTTCGCAAGATGTACTGCACGATTAGGTTCAAAACTCCCACGACATGTGGAAGTCTACCTGGTTCATTTGAACTTGGCATGAGACCACTCATTCTAGCATTTTGTTTCTTTGCTCGGCGTCAAATTGCGAGGTGATGTGCGAGCTTGGGGTGATCCCCGCTGTAAACTGCACCGTGCATCCATATGATCCATATATATATATATATGTCGTATAGACTACCTGTCACATGTGAGGTATGGCTACTAGAGAGGGGGAGGCTATGCTATCGCTACTAGAGTGGAGGCTATCGCTACTAGAGTGGAGGCCATCGCCACTAGAGTGGAGGCCAGCGCTATTAGGTTGTTTTTTGGTTGCTGAGGACCATCCCTCAAATCTTTGACATGGCCCAGGTGCGCGTCCTCCGGTCACCTGGTCGAGTGGATCAAACTGTTTCGATGGTCATTATTGAACTATAGACTCACACATTGACACAGTGTCAGATTTTCAGTTTCTCTGACTTCTTGGGTCTGTTGAGCCAAATCTTTGGGTAATCTGGAGAACTGGGTCCCTCCCCGTAGTTGCTGACCCTCTTTTTGCGAGGCAAGCTCGGAGCTCTGCACGTCTGCTTTCGGGCACGTCTGGCACCGTCTCACTGTGCTTTCGTCTGGCTCCGCCTCTGGTCTTCGGCTCATCGCCTCTGCCGGGTCTTCGCTCCTGTTGTCTCTGCCGGTCTCGCTGTTTCTCAGCCTGGCTTCCTCACGGCTGTCGGTGAGTCGGCAACGCTATTCCTCGTCCTGCATCTGCAAAAAGCCCGAGGAAGAACACACTCACTTCCACCACAAGCTGCAGACGTTTTGCTCTTTGGGGTCTGTAACTAAGTGGCCAAGTAAATGCCGTACAGAAGCATTCCAAACCAAGACTTCTGGGCACACTTCGTGCTTGGAGACTCGAGCTGTTACCCTTAGAAACGCATGGAAGGCAGGAAATTGTTTGCCAAAGACCATGGTCGACAACATCAACATTTCTGCAAGGAGGGTGTGTGTTTTTCTCATCTATTGAAACATCCCTCTTGTTCGAAGAACCCTTCGTGCCCAACACAACCAACACAACCAACACAGCCAGACTGAACCAAAACCACCCCCAAAACCAACCCAACGAGCCCGTCTGATTTGTGGAGATCCTCCAGGCTGAGGATGGCCGCCGTCCAGTGGTGCGCGCTGGCTGCTACATGGAGATGAGGCCCACCTTGCGATGTGGCGGACACATGCGGGAGTGGCTCAGCTGAAGATCGGTGGACACCTGAGCGAGCCAGGTGAAGCTTGAAGAGTGGACAGCTGAAACCATGTTGACGAGAAAGATCAGTAGTCTGACACTCTGAGTATTGGTGAGGTCCAGCTCATTCTGCCCGTACACAGCTTTTTCAAGTGGGAAAAAAATCGACTCATTTTCCGTTGATTTGATTGGGAGTTGAATCGAGTCTCAGCCGAGATTGGAGATTTGCCTTGAGAGAGTGAGAGAACTCAGGTCTGCCCCTGAGAAGTAGAGAACCGTTTCCTCTGATTCAGGCCGAGTGAAGGAGCAACTAGGAGCTGTCCAGAAGTGAACACTGGTTCATTGCGCTGATCATTTCTATTGATCCCAACGCTAAACGGCAGGATGAACTCGAAATCCTTGCTGCCAGGCTTTTGAATTAGTGTATTACTACTACTTTAGACTTTAGACAATCATCAACGAATCTTCAGTGTGGTTAATGTTGAGGGCAGCAGTGTCATCACCGCCTTTCAGGCTATGCTTCTAGGTTGGAGGCCATCTCTCTTGGGTGGAGGCCATCGCTAGTAGGTTGGAACGATCACAGTGCATGTTTTTAACATGTAAAAAACATCATCATCTTCTTTGCTTTCTGACCCTTCCGTGCGCCCCTGGCGCCAGGCCGTTTGGACTACCTCCGGCCCCGAACCCCCGACCCGACGACTGCTGAAGCGTGCCAAGCCTCGCGTCCCGTGACGGTCTCGGGATTTGCTGCATGAGGGACGAGGTGTAAAGTCCACCTAGTAGCGTCCGATCGCTCCGTTCGTAGCGATGCCAGTTTCGCCCCGGCCCTCGTAGCGTCCGATCGCTCCTAACATTGAATCCATGGAGTCTCATCGTTTTGAGGGTGGAAAGACGGAAGCCGTTCGTTTCATGGATCCGTAAGACGAGCCTTTTGAGCCACAGGATCCGACCATCACACGAAGCATCACCGCACACGAACCCTGCGTGAAGCGATCCTGTTGCGGTGGCCCGAAGCGATCCTTTTGCAGTGCGATCCTTCGGGACCGAGTAGCTCAGGGAGCTCCATGTGCAGGGAAGAAAAGACAGTGTGATGCTGGCTGGTAGAAGCGACGGCGTGGATTGCAGTCACTGGAATAAGCACAGGGCTTCCATTGCCATGATCAGGACCTACTCTTGCTCAGCTTCTGGTAATCCTTCACAAGTCAGTCATATGTTTATAGCAATCTATAGCAACCAGATGTTTACCTGGTGCCTTGCAGTCCCCATAGGCGGCCTTCGTGGATGCACCTGGGCTGCTGCACCGGATCTTGCGGATGGACCGAACAACGGGTTTCGCCGGCACGGGAGATGGGAGTATTCTTGACCTCTATGGTGTTTTCTAAGTTCTTCTTTTTTTCAAGAGTAAAGCACATCACAGCCTTCAAAGCCGGTTTCAAAGGATGTGGAATTTTGCCACGGCGTGTGCGAACGGCGTGTGCTTCGTTTGCTCCCCCAAATGGGCGGGGAAGTGAATTGTGGTAGATGGGTTGTCTCGAGGACGCTTGATTGAAACTTCACTCTTGCTTGGCAGGAGAAGAACGGTCGAAGACTGTCGGCCCAGGCTCGACAACTGTGTTTCGATCGGCAAAAACCCTTCAACTGGTGATGTGTCTGCTTCGTGTCTTTGGGGATCTGCTGCCAAGAGTCCATCCCTGAACACAGTCATTTAAGGAATCACCAATGAACATAGTCCAAATGACCGTATTTTCAAGCACGGTTTAAACAGTGGATGCACTGTAGCCAAGAGGCGGTACTGATCTACTCATCCATACCAGACGTTGCTTTCAGACGTTTTGGGGTGATCAATGGACCATTGCAGGTCCGTCCGGAGATTGTGTTGAAGCTACTGGTGAATGGCTACAGCTCAATGCTGCGCGCAGATCAGGCTGTGCAGGCATCGGAGAAGGGTCAATATATTAAGAGCTTAACATGCGAAAAAGACATATTGACATATAATATTGTTTTTTTTGTTTTTCTTGTTTTTAATCATGTTAAGCTCTTTCGACTACCTACTAGCGATGGGCTCCAACCTACTAGCCATGGCCTCCAACCTACTAGCGATCAATATATATATATATATCAATATGGTTTTCTCATGTTTGTTCTTTTGACTATGACTACACATTCAAGTCTTTTGTGTTTTGTCGACGCAATACTTCATTTGAACATTTCTGGTGTGATTTCGCTCTCCAATGCATTCTCCCAGCTTGTGCTTGCTGTGCTCAGGCAATTGCCCACAGTTTTCCACAGGCACGACGTCTCATCACACGTTGTTCCGCAGTCTTTTTGACTTGAGACCAGTGACTGAAGTTAAAGATAGTAACAACCAACCTAATAGCGATGGCCTCCAACCTACTAGCGATGGCCTCCAACCTACTAGCGATGGCCTCCAACCTACTAGCGATGGCCTCCAACCTACTAGCGATGGCCTCCAACCTAAAAGCGATGGTCTCCAACCTACCAGCGATGGCCTTCAACCTACTAGCGATGGCCTTCAACCTAGCGATGGTCTCCAACCTAC